TGGATTCCATCCATTGTAGGTTGCATCGGTATAGCCCACGGATGTTTTGGAAATGGATGCAGATCAACTTTGCCATTGCTACAGCACTTACCTTGTGTTTCATATGGAAATCTTATGGCCAGGCAGTGTGTACACTGTGTCGGCAGTTCCTCAATGTAGCACTAGTACTGAAAGGAATTGACAATGTAGAGGAACGTTTTTGGGAGATTTAGATCTAGAGAGTCCTCCTCATTTTGTTGTTGATCTAGACCACCTCGACCTTTGCGAGCTCGAGAGGTTCCAACTGCAGAACTTCGTTTTCTTTTCGGCATGGTCAGGCGCTATCTAGATCTAGATCTAGATCTAGACAGCAGTAAGGAGGAGCCAAGGAGTAGCAGTAGAAAGGCTGCAGTAAGAGTCAGGAGCCCAGAGGAGGGGGCAAAGGAGGTGAGGGGGTGGGGGTCAGAAAGTGGAAATGACAGCAGACAACAGAACAATGCTAGAGAGCAGGAAAGGAGGTGAAAGGAGACAATTTCAGAGAAGAAAATTTCTTTGGTCGCTATCCGGATTCGAACCCGGGACCTTTGAATGAGAGGCCAGCACCTTAAACTCTAGGCCACGAGAGCCCCCCCCCCCCCCCCCCCCCCAGAGAGAGAGAGTGAGAGAGAGTGAGAGAGAGAGAGAGAGAGAGAGAGAGAGAGAGAGAGAGAGAGAGAGAAAGAAAGAGATAGAGGAGGTCAGATAGCACTGCAGAGGGAGGGTGGTGAGAGTGACAGGGAAGGTGTCGTCGAAAACGCCAAGAGTAGCCTACCGTAGGCCAACTTGATGTATTCATGGGTCAAAGTCAAAGGTTCAGCCAATCGTAGCCCGGTTTGCGCCCTGCGTGTAGTTGCAATTGTATGTATGTCAAGATCTAATATCTAGATCAATATAAAAAATCATGAAAGTATTGAACGTAATTTTCTACTGCAGTTGATTTAGCCCGTTGATTTAGCGCGCACGCCGAACTGCGCCGAAGGATATTTTGTGTTTGGTGTGTTCGTGTGTAGATCTATGTCTAGATGTAATATCTAATCTAGATCAAGATAAAAAATCATGAAAGTATTGAAAGTAGATTTCTCCTGCAGTGGATTTAACGCGCACGCCGAAGGATGATTTTATTTTGTGCATTGTCTAGATGAGATCTAGAATCGAGATCTAGAATCGAGATCTAGAATCGAGATCTAGAATCGAGATCTAGAATCGAGATCAAGAAGAATCATGAAATGGAAGTAGAATCTAGATCTGTGGTATTTCGATAACCTATTGAATATTGAAAGTGGATTTTTCTTGCTGTGCATTATAGATTCTAAGATATAGATCTAGGCTAGATCTATATGTGAATCATAGATAGAGATCAAGAATGATGAAAGTATTGAACGTGGATTTTTCCTGCTGTGAATAGATCTAGAGTCTAGAATTAGGCTGTCGGTGAATCTAGATCGAGGTCAAGAATCATGAAAGTCTTCTTGAAAGTGGATTTTTCCTGCCGTGAATAGATCAAGAAATCTAGGCCATCTGTGACGCCTGTCGGTTGTTAAGATAGTGAATCTCTAAACTTAAATCTATCTGTGGGCCTAGGCTCCTTCTTTCAATTATCGGCCTATGGCTTTATAATCCTTTGAGATCTAGGCTAGATCTAAAGTCTAGATTAGGTTCTTCAAGGAAGCAACAATTGACATGTAGGGTAGGCCTAACTCTTTTTTAAAAAGTGATTGAGCTGGAACTTTAGGAGAAAATGCCACGCCTTCGAAGAGAGGGAAGAAGTCTTACTCCTAGATGTAGTCAAGAGGGGGTGCTACATGGATAAATTCAAGGTAAAATATTTATGTTGTGTTTCTTTCCTGTTTTCAGTCTTTTTCCTCTTCTTAACTTTCCTAATACTTCTTCATTATTATTCCGTTCGTAGAACGGGTAATTTTACTAGTATATTATAATACACTGTGCGATGCACCCGTCTATGTTAGCAAACGACTTCTAGCCGTTTGTTTGTTTTGGTCGCGAAGTTTAATATCAAAGTCACAGTCGTCTCTTTACAAACGACACAATGGCATAATATACGTTAAATGCAATTTGTTATTCCTTCACCATTTGAATCGTACGTTTTCACCTTGCTTTGCCTATGTCTTGTTTTTTTAAAATGTTTTTAATGGGGGTTTTTGGAAAGGGGGGGGGGGGGGGAGATTTTGAGGAGGGAGACAAACGGATAATGTAATACGCAGGGGCGGTTTGTTAACTGGGCAAGATTTTGTCAACTGAACTGTTGACTAGAGGTTTATTGCTGATGACGACTTTCATTAAGTTTTAAGTAAATCCAAACAAACATGTATCAACATTCAAAAACATCTTTCCGAGGGCGCTCAAATAGACAAGTGGGATTCACTGCTGTTTTGTCGCGACATAACCTCATTCCTTCACGTTTGTTATCGCGCCGGCTCGTAACTTTAAATCGTCTCCCGTCAAACCGTCATGTCGCGGAACTTCGTACTACGTACGAGGCCAAACCACTGTCCTAAAACTATAGCTTGGGCCACTGACCTAAAAATATATTTTTAGGTCAGTGCTTGGCTTAGGCCTAGCGATGAAGTCAGTCCCATGGACAGATCCATCGTCAGCCCACAGAAAGATTAGTATATCCCTTAATTGCCAGATTGGCTTCTTTGTAACTTACAAAATTAAGAATGAGACTGTCTTGAGCAGCACAGACACATGTATTATTTTATCAGCAAAACATGTATTTATCATTCAGCCTTTTTTAAACTACTATCAGAACATTTATTGCCAGCATGGCATTACTCTTTTTTGTTTATTGACTTTTTAACCACCTATAGTTCCTGTTTGGCATTTACTCATCGTTTTCTCCCCACTAATAACTTATCTGGCCCTTAGGAGTCTGGCCGGCGAAAGAAGGAATCGTCTAGTGAAGATATATAAGGAAAATTTTAACGAGGAGCGATAGACACTCGGCTGTCAGAGTCTGGGCCGAAAACCTCCTCCCTTCCCTCCAATTTTCAACCCTCACCCCAGCTAGACACCAAGTTCTATAATTAGCATTTGACACACTTCCCCACTTTGTTACAACACAGTGTTCAGTGTTCTGTTCTGAGAACTGAGAAGTGTGATGAAGTACATTTGATGATATAATGATCGGAAACTTGTGTGCTTTGTCCAGCCTTGTATAGCATCTGATTGTAGACTTGATCTGCTTGGGACAGCGTCACTGGTACAGTAGCAGTTGACTTTTTGTCATCATACAGGACAGTTCTTATTACATATATTTAACGGGTTCAGTGCACGTCGATATTTTGTATGGGGGTGTAGAAAGTACGAGTAAAGTACTGTACTGGAGGCCAGGACCAGCGATTTATTGCTTCTCACTTTCAGTTTGTTTACTAGCTTAGACTCAAGTAGTGTGTTTCTTTTTCTGTGCCGATCAAGTGAGTTTCTATTAATCTCAGTAACTTCCATCTTACATTATTCATAATATTGTTTCTTGACGCTACCGCATATCTTAGCTCTTTCACATTATATTACAATGTTTACTGTGGTGTGTGTGTGTGTGTGTGAGAGTGGGTGAGGGGGTGGGGATAGCGAAAGTAGGGGTATAAAGTAAGGAGAGAGAGAGAGAGAGAGAGAGAGAGAGAGAGAGAGAGAGAGAGAGAGAGAGCGAGAGAGCATGTGTGTGTGTGTGCGTGCGTGTGTGTGTGTGTGTGTGTGTGCGCCTGCGTGTGTGTGTGTGTGTGTGTGTGTGTGTGTGTGTGTGTGTGTGTGTGTGAGTGTGTGTGTTGTGAAGGAAGGGGGTGGGGGAGGGAAAAATGGTCGACGTTAATGACCGCCGGTCAGTTCTATAAACCACGAGCCGCCACTGGTAATACGTGATGAGTTTAGTTTAATATAAAAGCTATTTTTTTCTAATCCTTACTCTGGCCCAGACAGCCATGATCATTTTTCATGTGGGACTCTTAAGTGGGGCCACTTTACCACTTGAATGGTCACTAGAACTTTGTTGGTCTGGATCTATTTCATCTGCTAATGTCAGTACCGTGTAAACCTTTTGTTACATGTGTCATGGGGGTAGACCATGATTTATCCTACATGTGAAATTGTCAGTAGTAATCACCTTCTGAAACTCGTGATTACAACTTGGCAATTTCACCATGATCTACCGCCATAACTCATGTTAAATTATGTTGGTCTTATGGACTTTCTCATATATTATTATCTAAGAGTGGTCTGTGTTATTATTGGCAAATGGCTGATACTCGGCAGAGTACGAACAAGACATAAAGGAAGCATTAATGTATGCCTGCTTATTATATAGCAAGAGTGTAAACGAACAGAACACAAGGCCTAATAACTAATTGAATCTTATTATTAGCAGTAAAGATATTGCCCATTTTGTTCGATTATTCTTGTGGGTTAAAATCACCCTGTACTGTACCTCAATAAGTACAAAAAGAATATTTCGGTGACTTTTTATAGAGGTGTTTGTATTTGAGCTCTATGTAAAATTCTCAACAAAATAATGTACATTTGGACCGTACAACTCAGTTAGACACTCACGCACACAATCACATTCACGCACTTACGGACACATTACAAACACACACATACAAACACACTATTACGTGTACTCTCTCTCTCTCTCGCTCTCGCTCTCTCTCTCTCTCTCTCTCTCTCTCTCTCTCTCTCTCTCTCTCTCTCTCTCTTTCTTTCTCTTTGAAACTCGTGATTACAACTTGGCAATTTCACCATGATCTACCGCCATACCTCATGTAAAATTATGTTGGTCTTATGGACTTTCTCATATATTATTATCTAAGAGTGCTCTGTGTTATTATTGGCAAATGGCTGATACTCGGCAGAGTACGAACAAGACATAAAGGAAGCATTAATGTATGCCTGCTTATTATATAGCAAGGATGTAAACGAAGAGAACACAAGGCCTAATAACTAATTGAATCTTATTATTCTTTCGCAAGGCTTGTGACGCAATGAAAGCAAGCCAAACATGCACTTTCCAAGAGATGAGGCCTTGTGACGAACACACTGCACAGTTCTATTCATCGATGCTCCAGCCAGAGGTTGACCGAGTCTGTAATGGTGCAGCACGCATTCTCACCGACACAGGTTTACTTCCTTTTCTTCTCTCTATCCTCGCTGTTTGGCTCAAATCTGGTGTAAATTAGGAAAAACCATGACTTGTCCAGATCGATTTGTCAAAAGTTTTTTAAGTGGTGGACCGTGTGGATTTTAATATCAGTTGAGGAAAATCACTAGGCAAACTTTAATTTTTTTAGAGTGAAACTATGAACTCATATTTCGATTTGCTGCAATTTCTGACAAGTGTATTGACCTTGGTCAAAGCAAACTTTAATGTTCCTTTCTAATCGGTTCTACTAAATCGTGACATCTTCCTTTTAATATTAACCCCCCCCCCCCCCAAATATTTATTGAAATTGCTTGTGATCTGCAAAGAAATAAACAAAATTACGTTTGACGAAACTGAATGACCTTCTTTCGGGTTTTCTTTCTTTTTCCTTTTTTTCATATAATTATGTTTTTTGGTTTGTTTGTACGCATTTGGCTTAATCGAACTTTCTTTCATATAAGGATATCGATGTATTGGGCACATACATTTGCGTTATAAAATGGATGTTTTCTTTGAAAATGGAAAACAGTTTTGTCTTGAAGATTTGAGGATTGGCTTGGCGTTTTATATCTTTCTTTCTTAAATTCAAACCGAAGTAAGCCACGACTGACGAAGATGTTGGTGCAAACAACCTGGCAAAGAAATTTTGTTTTCGAAATGAAAGTTTAAAGATAATCATAGCCTAGTAGATTTCTTGGAATAATTGTTAATGGACAGATACACATACTTTCTTCTCGTCTGCAAATGATTGGCGGGTTGTAATCAGATAGTAATCTGACTTTTTAACATGTCGGGCTATGATGTGAATGGCCACAGTTGGAATCCTTTAAGACGCATTCTTGAACTTTTGTTATTTTGGCTCTTGTGGCCTAGAGGCAAAGATGTTCACCTCTCATTCAAAAATCCCTGGTTCGAATCGGGGTAGCGACGGAAAAATATTCTTCTCTAAATGTGTCTCATTTCACTTCCTTTCCTGCTCTCTAGCAATATTTCGTCGTCTGCTTTCGTCTCCACTTTCTGCCCTCACCCCGTCACCTCCTTCGCCCCCTCCTATGAGATCCTGACTCTTTATGCACCATTTCTACAGCTACTCCTTTGCTCCTTCTTACTGCTGTCTTTCAGCCACTCCCCTGATCTTCTTGTAGGAAAGATCTACACCTAGCCTTCTCGAACAAGGGCGAAACATCTCTTAGACCCCGAATGCAGACAGCATACGTTAAAGATCCCTTGGTGATTTAAAATCGATACGAGTAAGCTTCGGCCACCACCAGGGCGAAATACAAAAATTCCTACCAACAGAAAATACTTTATGAGTACTGCGCACTCATATGACCGTATGCAGTTGCGAGCGTCGTAAAACACTTACCAAAAAAAAGGGGGGTGGGATGGGGGTGAGGTGGGGTAGGGTGGGGGGAGGGTGTTTTAAAGGGTTTTTCTCCTTGTTGTCTGAGTACTATTGGAAAATTGCTTCAAGGGTTCTTTGTTTGTGTCTTCAATGTCAGCCAACTGTCGGACTTCAAATATTCTTTGCAGCCAATAATCAAATATTCTATTATTTCGTCAACAAAGCTGGTATGTCAGCTGCTCTATTTGAATTTATTTGTGTCAGGACATGGTGGAATCAGGAGCTCGTCAATTTTTGGGCTCATGTAATTATGGATGTAATCTTAAGATCTAGTCGTTTAACTTGCTTTTGAAAAACGAGAACCCAACAAAACTCATCTATCTTGAATATTATTCTTGTGTCATAAGTACATGTAAAAATAATCGAGCAAATGGCTGCCATAACTTGGTGACTTCCATAGCTTGAGTATCCTTGGAAACTGCAAATTTATATTTTTTGTTCTTTAATCAATTTTTATTTTTTTGTAAAATCCTCATGGAAATTTTTTCTTAGATGGACATGAATGGTTGAAACCCTTTCAACCCCCCCCCCCCCCTCTCCCCGAAAAACAAATCAACAACAAACACACACACACACACACACACACACACACACACACACACACACACACACACACACACACACACACACACACACAAACCGGTAATATTAGTTCCAGGGGCAGGAAAATGCCGATTTCTTCGATTTCATTATCTTAGACGAGCTCCTGATTGGTTTGAAGAGAAGTAATACTAATGGTGATTCTGATTTTTTAAAAATAGAAAATTATCCAGAGTTTAAGCTTATATTTAAGTTTAGAAGTGTTCCTGTGGGTTACTCCAACATGGTGAACCTTAATGTTTGTATCATGTCTTGGAGAAACATCGCCAGTCAGTGGAGTTTCCCACTTGTGTCATTCTCTAAGCTATTTTTGCGCTATTCATTTTGATGTTAGAAAGAGATTAGAAAAACTGTCTCCGTTGCCATAAATCATCATGCAGTGGGGCTAATATCTCTACGGCATACTTTGCAACATGTTGATGAATTTCAATCCAGCGAAAATCATAAACGGGGGAAAACTACTGCCATGTGTGTTGTGCCTATGGTTTTGTGTACTTACCGCCCTTGAATAATCCATGCACGACGAAAGTTGCTCCAAATTGTGGTACTCGTTATGCTAACCTTTTGAAATTTTCGACGAGGTGATTATTAAATTATCTGAGGACAGGATTCATTCACGTTTTCCAGTACCGTGAAGTACAAGGTGCAGAAATAAAAAAAACTACTTCAAACCAGGTCTTTGTGAGTCAGTATGGAGATGCTATCACAGATTGTACTGTCTCTAAATCTTTACATAAAAAGACCAGTCGAGGTTGAGAATATAATAACAGTCGCATTAATAAAAATAATTGCATTGATATAGTCGATATACGCACCCTCTAAAGCATCATGATGATGACGATGATGACGATGATGACGATGATGATGATGATGATGATGATGATGATGATGATGATGATGATGATGATGATGATGATGATGATGATGACGACGACGACGATAATGATGATAATGTTGTGATGATGAGTACTGTTCGGTACGAATTTGGTATCACTCATCGCATCTGGGCAGCCCTTTCTAGGGATGCACTGCTCAACCTCTAGGGAAAAGAGACGAGAGGTATCCTAAAAAAACACCCATTTCACATCAGCTAGGCAGGTCAGTCACGTCTAGGGGATTGCAAAATGCAACAGCAATAGCATGGTGCTGCTAAAACGCGTAGAAGACAGCATATCCATTTACACAATAAACAAAAGATTTTGTCTTCCTCTAAGAAATCAACTCTCATGGATGCTTCCCAGTTTAAAGAATTATTGTCATCTTATGGATTGCTTTTTTTAAAGACAACAAAACAGGCATGATGTGCGAGTGACTTAGGGCATCGAATGTGGAACTGGCTACAGGCTCATCATGAGCAAACTCAACTTACAGTGCTGTCAGAAATTCGTGGCGCAACTTATTGTCTAATAGTTCCTCGTCTTTCGAACTTAGATTTCCCAGCTTTTGCACTATAATTGCTTGTATCAATTTGTCTTAACATTTCAACATAGTTGTAAACACCTGTTTGCTTTATTGTTGTGAAATAGCTCGTGTGAAGTATACAATTTATTTTACAGTAAATATAATGCTAAAACAACCCCAAGTATGGAATACAATTGTATATTAATCTAAGAGGAAAAGTTTTGAAATCTTGCCTCAGTTGTTGTGGAAAAATGTAATTAAGGTAAGACAAATGAATCCAAACTGTTGTACAAAATATGGGGAACATTGATTCACCCCTTAAAACATATTTGTTGGTATGTTGCGCCATTAACGTTTGACCGCACTAGAGTGTTGAAGCCGCAAAGTCATCGGCATGGTAAGGGTGTGTGTCTCAAAAAATTATTGTTGTTCGTTACTTTTAATTCTCTTCTCAGTCAGAAACGTGATGAGTGATGGGTTGTTGGGGGAGTTTGTTTCAGTGTTGGGTAGCCTGTCTTTCAATCCGGTCCATGTAGAACACAGCTGGGATGACCTTAGGACAATCTTTTACAAATATTATTATTAATAACTATTGCGCATCCAGCACTGCTGCCGTGTTCCCGAATAGCAAATATCACAATTGGTTAAACAAAATAAATGTTGAAATCACTGCATGTCCGATAAAAACTTTTTTTTTTTCTAAGCGCACATCAGTGACCCTTCTGTGCAGCAAAAGGAACGCGCTTTTAAGGCGAGCAGGGTTACACAGCAGCTGAATTGAGATGAAGAATTGTCGGTTAGAGGAAAGAGGAAGTTCGACACGAATGTTCTCGCTCACAAACAGGGCCCAGACATTATACCGACACACACGTCTCAACTCAAAGCAATATTATGGCCCTGCTTCTTCAGGCAATATGCCGCCTCTTTCGGCAATATGAGACACGAAAAAGTTATGCTTTTCTTTGTATTTTGCCTGAACACTTTGGAATTAGACCTTCAATGCAGGTGGTTTGAAGGTGTCATTGGTAGGTTGTACTTTTTTCCCCATCTGTTCTTTCTGTCTGTTTGTCTTACTTTTTTTCCAGCACTAAATAACCAATATAATGTCGATGTGCTAATCTTTACTCAATCCCCCCACCAAAAAAAAACAACAAAAACCCGAAGACCTTCAACAATGAATTCTGAGTCGATTGAGCGGCTTTCACAGTGAGACACCCATCAACTCCAAGCTGGTCAATTCCCAACTCTTGTGGACACCAAAGCAGCTGTACAACAGCTGTCTCTGAGTAAATCTTCAGTGGATGACTCGATTTCAGCTGAAAAATAATTACTATGTCTTTGGTGTTTACTCACTCATTCCGAAGGCGGATGAGCTACTCAAATAAATTTTAGGTTTGAAAGTGAACTGCTAGGTCAGTAGTTCAAAGTTCCAACAATGGTACATTTGTAACAAACGAATTGGATCACCAATGCTGTGACAAGAATTGTATCATCTCACTTATTAGACTTATTCTAACCCACATTCTTGCCATTCTCTTTTCAAATATACAGCCAAAATGTCAATGTGGCTTTCACAAAGAGAGGGGTACAGTGTGTATGACATTTTTTGCTGCTTGACACATTGTCATCTCATGTCAAATGCAGGAGAAATGCAAAGACAAAGCAAGGACCTATGCATAGCATGTCTTGACTCCACGAAGGCATTTGGCACCGTCTGAGGAATGCCTCTGAGAAATTATGGCAAAATCCAGATGCTCACCTTAGTCTATCAGCTGGGTGAGACAAATCCATCATCATCATCATCATCATCATCATCATCATCATCATCATCATCATCATCATCATCATCATCATCATCATCATCATCATCATTTTTTGGTAAGCAGG